AATTTCAACAAAACTGTGTCAATGAATGTATTTCCAATAAACCACCTGTTTAAATTTTTTGTTTTGTTTTTTTTTTTAAATTGAAACCATCATTTTCAGATATTTTGAGAGTGAAAAACAAAAAATTGGAAATTAGTTAATTATATATGCTTTTATACCATATTTTTGGGCTTATACGTACATTTATATGTAAACAAATTAACTAAATTTCCCCTTGTATTTTTTTTAACTGATCAAAAATTTAATCAACTTTTATTTAATTAAGTTTGTAGCAATGTATATGAAATATTCGAGTGTGGTGAATATGTGCAAAATCGTTGAATTTTTCGTTCACAAATTCATGAATGCCTGTTCCAATATCAATCCTTATCACCAGGAAAAAAAATTTTTTTATTTTTTTTTATTAATTCCCTTTATTATTTTACTCTCCGTTTTTGTTTTTATTTTGGGCTTTAAGAACTAATACAGCTATTTGTTACTTAGCTTTCTTAGTTTAAATATAGTGTTTTATCAGGTTATCAGGGAAAACATATCGGTATGTGGTTTAAATTTTTTTTGATAAAAACACTTTAAATTAATAATTTACACGATTAACACATTTAAAAAAAGCTTTTTTGTGTAGATAACAAGTAAATGTCAATAAAATAGTTTAATTATTTAATATATCGTGAATTTATTTACTCAAATGCATGTAAGCGGGAGACTTAAGTATAAGGAGGTCATCGTAACATTAAATATCAATTGGAGTTCTAAATAACGTTAATTTAAAATAATTTTAGCTTTTGACTACATTGCGGTAACCGTTTTTATACTTAAAACGTTGACATTCTTTTAACGGTTTAAGTCGTTGACGTTCTTTCAACGGTAAAACATTAATGATAACATGTAAATATATACGTTTTAAATTAAATCAAAACTTAAAAAAAGATCTGTGTATTGTAGCTAATACTTTTTACCTTCGTTTTTATATGTAATTTTAGTTTACCGACGAGATAATTAGGGTATTTATCTCAACAATCACTTATCGTATTCAAGAAACTGATAAAGAATACTCCAAACCATAAATTTACAATTTATCAGATAGCTTTTCGACAAAGAGACGAGTATTCATTATAAGCCAAGGTTTATTTTACAAGTTGTAGCATTCAACAAAAAACTTTCAATTCTGTTTGATGCTTTCTAAAAAATTAGAATATAAAAGTTTACTACACAAATAAAATTATTTATTATAACATAAAAAGATTACAATTTACAATTATTGCGCATAAGAGAGTTTTTCTTCTTTTTTTTTATACACAGTTAAATGACATCAATTTTATGGCAAAAGATGAGACAGGTGTTAAAATTTATTAGCTCATCCGCAAGTTTCAAATAAGCCAAGAAAGTGGTTTGCCGCTTACCATATTCTCTGCTATAGTTGTTAATTTAGCGAATATTTTGTCAGTAGTGTAACATTATTTATAAGCTATTTTATAACAATGTGTCATTTATTATAAATTTTGTATTATATTATCAGATAATGATTATTTTGGGTTTTGTTCATTTCATTGATGCTAAGATAATAGTTATGATTAACTTAAAAAAACTGGTTGAGTGGTTGTTGCAAAATTCAATAGAATAAAAGTCTTTTATTTCATCTTTGTCATATTATACAAATTATGCTGTATAAGTGTTCTTTCATGTTCTTTCTGTATAAGTGCTAAATATGCTGTATAAGTGTTCTTTCATTTCCTCATGCCGTTTAAATACAACATAATAATTCACAACTTCTAATTTATATGGAAAAAGTGTACAGACGAATTTTTATTAAAATAGATTTTATTTACTTAAACGACTGAGAGAGAAAACAACAATTTGTAAACGTTTACAATAAATTAATAGTTTTTTACCCGTTTCTTTATAATAAATTAACGTCACTGCTTCTTTTATATTATATTTTAATTGTATGGTCCTTCTTTTAATTTTTTATATGAATATTCTTTTTAGATTGGGTAAATTATATTCTGATACACGTTATCTATATAAAAGAAATAAGATAAAAAGATTTTTTTAATTTGAATTTCCACATACATATAGGTGTAATCAGTTTATTACAGACATTTGTAAATAGTAAAGTCCAAATGATGTCTTATTTTAAAAAAAAAATTTTTTTGATTCTTTAAGCAATCAGTCACGTCCTAGTTGCGAGAGTAGATATTAGTAAGAAAATATTTTCATTTTACGTTTGTTTTCAAAATAAGAGATTCGATATTTAAAAAAAATGTTGGGTATTGGAAGTAAAAAAGATCGTCGAAAATCCATGGAAGCTGGAACGTCAAAAATGTTTGATGATTTCGAAGATTTAACACATCCAGTTTTCTTTGTTGAAAGTGAACGTGATCAACTTTTACGGTAATGAATGAATGAATTGTGTGTCTCTTACATAAGATTTTGTTATTATATTAATTATTTTATTAGAGAAAGAAAAAAAAATTATTTTTATCAATGAAATCTGTAAAAAAAAAAACAAGTTACAAGTATAGAATAATACTGTAATATTGTCGATTTGTTTTGATCACGAGATTGTTTTGATTTAATAACTGTTGCTATAATTGTATAGTTACGCAATACAATTACTTAATTAATCGTTACTAAAATCTCGAAAAGGATAACAAAAATCTATAATTAATTTTAATGTTCAAATTTTTCTCTTTAATCAATCATGATAAAATTTGTGCAAATTGACATTCAAAAGAATATTCAAACAATATTTTACTTTAGCAATTACTAAAGCGAATTATAAATATTACATGTGCCATTTTCGATTTTTATTAAAATTGGACTCTCTAATGCTACGTGAATTTATTCTAATTTATCAAATCTATGAAATACTTATATGTACACGTATTATTAAAATTTTATAATTTTAGCAACGGATTTTTATGTTAATGCGCCACTTGTAGGGTTAGTTCACAATACGCTTACTTCAGCGGATAAAAATTGTAAATACGTATGTATGACTAGAAATTTTTACAAGTTTGTTCTTATTTTATGGGAATAAAGGTTTTTGTCCTTCTAACAGTTTAGTAGAGAAAAGAAAATTGTAGTAAATTAATTGTTATTATGTTAAAATAATTTTCTGTGGGAAAATACATAAATGGAAAAACTTCTGGTCGCAAGCCATAGTACCACTTTATCCAATGAAAATATTGCGTAAATTAGAGAAATTTTTAATAATATTCTAGAACTATTTCAAAAAACAAAGTTACTACATTTTTTAAATGCTATTATAACCTCAATATAATGAATTTTTAAATTTTTTTTGTTTGTGTACTTACACACATACATATAATTTTTGTTTCAGATAAAAATCCCCGTTATTATAAGTCAAAAAACAGAAAGTCATAATATTTTTAGTCATATTTTTGTCAAGCCTTATTTACCTTTTATCTAGATGTACATCCATACTCTTATAAAATAAGTACTACAATAAAAATAATATACTTAAACAATCTATTTTTAGAAAATATAAATCTTTTTATTTATTTTAGACTCATTCATTTTGCTCTTATTTCAATTATTTTTGAAATTTAATATTAAAACGCTAGATTTTTAAGATTTTAATAGAGTTTTCAATCTGATTTTTTCAATATTCTACAAATATTTATCTATTTACCCATAAGATTTTTAAAGAATTTTTAATTTTTTTCCATTTTTGAATAGCTTTGCTTTAAAAGCAGTAAATACTAATTGTCGTTAGATTGAATTTCGTTTGAGAATAGAATTACATTAAAATATAGTATGTTACGGCAGGCTCGTTACCTACCTAGTTAACTCTATGACGCTATGAAACTAGGGTATGATATCATGCACTAGTCCTATGGTCCCCTTAGGAGTGAAGAAGGAAAAAAAAAATAAATATAATATGTACTTCCATTTCACAGAGACAAGTTCTTTAATGCCGTTTTATTTAATTTAGATTCTGTCAAATGTCAAAGACTGTCAAATTAATTTTTCAAAGATGTGATCCGTATCAAGACAAAGAAACTTGAATTTCTTCGATTTACACATAATTTACGTATTTCCTTTGGTTTAATTTTTGTTAAAGCACTAAAATAATAAAGAAACGTAACAAGATTAGGAGAGCGAGCGTAAATTTTCGCTAGTTTTATATTTTAGGTTGAAGTTAATTTAACACATACTTAATTTATATTAAAGTTTGTTGTTATAAAATATTTTTTTGTATTATTTAAATACATATATATTTGAAATATATAAATTTTTATTTATTTAATTAGTTATGAAGGCGTAATTTTAAAAAAAAAATTTACTAATTTTGGAAATAAATTACAATTTAAACTCTCGTCGTAGCTTTTTAGTACTATACGTATATTCACCAAATTTTTATGTGGTAATTAACGACTACTAAGACATAAACCTTATTAACGATGCAACAAATGTTTAATTTGACTTTATCCATATTTTCCTGAAATTTAATTTTCTTACTTGATAAATTATGAATTCAATTATTTTTTCATCATTAATAAATAACAAGGTTTATAGAAGAATCTTAAAAATTTTTTATAATTCAATTAAGTTGTGTGAAAACTCATTATAACAGGAATTGCAAAAATTTCAATATCTTTCTGTCGTTTTTAATTTTACTTTATCCAAGAACATTTAGGAATTTCAAGAATTTTTCATTTATGTAAAGAAACCTTCGTTCAAATCAATAAAAAATGAGAAAAACTGCAAAAGAAAAATTATTTTGTCGTGAAAAATGACATGATTTTCATATTTAAAGGATGTTTCTATTAAAATATTATATCAGTCTAAAACGAGATCCAGAATGATGTGGTTGAATAAAATTTCTAGTAATTTAAAATTGTGATTATTTTTAAATTTTCGTACGAAAGTTGTACAAAAAATTGGGATTGTATGTAATTTAACAATTTAATTTTCTTAAAAAATTTTGAGATGTTTCTAATAATTAATGTTTATTTTATACTTTTTACTTTTAGTCACAAAATGGACGAGGACGATAACTGTTGCGATTCAAGGGCTTTGCTTGGACATTCAATTTTAACTGTACGATTACCTATATTAGGTATGACGTGCCAATCATGTGTACGTAATATCGAAAGTACTATATCAAAAAAATCTGGAATACATAAAATAAAAGTGATCCTAAGTGAAAATGCTGGTTACGTTGATTATGATGCAAATATAATAAATCCCGCACAAATAGCTTATGAAATAGAGGAAATGGGCTTTGATTGTCCTTATACAAGTAGTAATGTGACTTCCGTAAATTGTAGCCCACAGAAGTCTAATGTTCCAGACAGATTAACAACAAAAATCAGTATTGAAGGGATGACATGTAACAGTTGTGTTCGAAATATAGAAAAAAATATAAGTGGAAAACCAGGAATATATACAATAAAAGTTAGTTTAGAAGACAAATTAGGAACTGTGGAATATGATCCCAGTCATTTAACTGAATTGGAAATAGCGGAAATGATAGACGATATGGGTTTTGATGCGAAAGTAGCTGAAGAAATGAAATCAACTGAAATCAATTATAGAAGTTCTAATAAAGAAAGACCTAAAAAGAAATCAGTTTCGGAATCATTAGTTATGATAGGCGGTGATTCAGCTGGGGATTACAATAAATTAAATGGTGATAAATTGGGAAATGGCGTTTTGATAGGTGTAAATAATCAATTAAAAAAATGTTTTCTGCATATACAAGGTATGACTTGTGCAAGTTGTGTGGCTGCCATAGAAAAACATTGTAAAAAAATTTATGGCATTGATAGCATTTTAGTAGCTCTTTTAGCAGCTAAAGCGGAAGTTAAATATAATCCAAATGTAATTGCACCAGAAGATATAGCACAGTCTATTACCGAATTGGGTTTTCCATCAGAAGTTATAGTAGAACCTGGAACCGGTGAAGGTGAAGTAGAAATAGAAATTTTGGGAATGACATGTGCTTCCTGTGTCAATAAAATTGAACAACATTGTCTCAAAATTAAAGGAGTTTTGTCAGCTGCTGTAGCTTTAACAACAAAACGTGGAAAATTTCGTTTCAATTCAGAATTTACCGGACCTCGAAATATTTGTGAAGCTATACAATCTTTAGGGTTTGATGCAAAACTTTTAACAAACAAAGATAAAATGTCACATAGTTATTTAGAACATAAAGAAGAAATTCGTAAATGGAGAAACTCATTTGTGATTTCTTTATTTTTTGGTGGGCCGTCAATGGTTGCTATGATTTACTTTATGGTTGAAATGGAATTACACGGTCATGAAGGAATGTGCTGTGTAGTTCCAGGTTTATCCACAGAAAATTTAGTAATGTTCTTACTTTCAACTCCAGTACAGTTTTTTGGTGGATGGCATTTTTACGTGCAAGCGTATAAGTCACTTAGGCATGGATCCACAAATATGGATGTTTTAATTACAATGGCTACTAGTATAAGTTATATATATTCAGTTTGCGTTGTACTTGCTGCTATAATTTTACAACAACATACATCACCTCTAACATTTTTTGATACACCTCCGATGCTTTTAATTTTTATTTCACTGGGTCGATGGTTAGAACATATAGCTAAGGGAAAAACTTCAGAAGCTTTGTCAAAACTTTTATCACTCAAAGCCACAGAAGCAGTTTTAGTGACCATTTCTGATGAATTTGAGGTTTTAAGTGAAAAAACAATTTCTGTAGATTACGTACAAAGAGGAGATGTATTACGTGTTGTACCTGGGACTAAAGTACCAGTTGATGGAAAGGTAATATTTGGTCATTCATCTTGTGATGAAAGTCTTATAACAGGGGAATCTATGCCGGTACCGAAAAAAGTTGGATCCGTAGTAATTGGTGGTTCTATCAATCAAAACGGTGCTTTACTTATGGTAGCTACTCATACTGGGGAAAATACAACCTTAGCACAAATTGTAAGACTGGTCGAGGAAGCACAAACTTCTAAGGCACCCATTCAACAACTCGCAGATAAGATTGCCGGCTACTTCGTTCCTTTTGTTGTTTTCGTCTCGGTAGTGACACTAATTGGGTGGGTGATAAGTGGTTATATAGATCTTGATCATTTACCGATTACACCAGAAAGTAAAATTGGTCTAAATAGAGAAGAAATTATTTTTGGATATGCGTTTAGGTGTGCATTAAGTGTGCTTGCTATTGCTTGTCCGTGTGCGTTAGGTCTAGCTACGCCGACTGCTGTTATGGTAGCAACTGGAGTTGGTGCGCAACATGGTGTTTTAGTAAAGGGAGCTGGACCTTTAGAAAATGCTCATAAGGTTAAAACCATTGTTTTCGATAAAACTGGTACTATTACTCATGGTATGCCAATGACTTCCAGGATTTGCATGTTTGTTAAACCAAAAGTTTGTTCTTTGGTAAGAATATTAACTGTTTTGGGGGCTGCAGAGAGTAATAGTGAACACCCTATTGCAACAGGTATATACATTGTTTTTTTAAATGTGTACGCATATTTATAGCTCTTTTGATTTTTTAAATAAATAGCTATTGTTAAATTCGTGAAAGAAATGACCGAAGTGGAACAATTTGGAAAGGCATCGAATTTTCAAGCTGTACCTGGGTGTGGAATCAAATGCAATGTTTCAAATTATGAAAATGCATTACGACAAGGAAGAAGCTCTGAAAAAGTGATCAATTTTGAAAATTTAATTCGAACGGGAAACAATTCAATACATTTTGTGAATGGAGCTGCAATTGAAGAAATTGTCCCTGCACTTACTCAATCTCAAAAAAATACTTTGGAACTTCAACAGCTTTTACAATTGGACGAAAACGAAAGCAATAATATTCAGTCTGAAGATGATGACGTGGAAGAACTTGCTGATGTAAATGAATATTCCGTACTTATTGGTAATAGAGAATGGATGCATCGAAATGGAATATTGGTACCGCCAGAAATTCATATTAAAATGGTTGATGAAGAACAAATGGGACATACGGCTGTTTTATGTGCTTTGAATAACCAACTTGTTTCCATGATCTCAGTATCAGATATGGTAAAGCCTGAAGCACATTTGGCAATATACACCCTGAAAAAAATGGGTGTTGAAGTCATTTTATTGACTGGTGATAATAAAAATACAGCTGCAAGTATAGCTAGACAAGTAGGAATAAATAGAGTATTTGCTGAAGTGCTTCCATCACATAAAGTTGCTAAAATTCAAAGAATTCAAGAAGGGGGTGTAAGAGTGGCAATGGTTGGTGATGGTATCAATGATAGTCCGGCACTCGCTCAAGCAGATGTTGGTATAGCAATCGCTGCTGGAACAGATGTAGCAGCAGAGGCTGCAGATGTGGTATTAATGAGGGTATTATACTATAGCAAATTAAGAATAATATATTAATGAAACTTATTTTTAGAATGATCTTCTGGATGTTGTTGCTTGTTTAGATTTGTCACGTCGAACTGTTAGAAGAATTCGTTTGAATTTCCTATTCGCTAGCATGTACAATCTTATTGGCATTCCAATTGCAGCAGGAATATTTAGTCCATTTGGATTTACGTTACAACCATGGATGGCTTCAGCGGCAATGGCGGCAAGTTCGGTTTCCGTTGTATGCTCCTCGCTATTGATAAAATTATATAAGAAACCAACCGAAGTTTCGTTACGCACTGCCGAATATGAAGAATTAATTAAACAAAATTGTGATCCAGAAACTGTTTCTGTACATCGTGGTCTAGAAGATATCCCAAGACCTAACTTTAGTCGATCAAGTTCTACACTATCCAGGTTAGTAACAAAAATTCGGAGTTGCTTTTAGCACTATTGAAGAATCGAAATCACTTTTGTCATACAGTAATCTCTTTTAATGTTACTTATATATTAGACTATTACTTATAGTCTCTACACTCATTTTTATTAAAAAGTGTTTGAAGTCTTACTTTCTGAGAAGTTTGAAATTTTTAGCTTGAAAGTATTCAAAATGTCTTATCATTTGCTCTTCATTCTGTCATGCATTATACAAATGTAATTTTTCAAAGATTTACAGAACTTTTGTTAATAACACCGAAAGTGAAAATTCTTTTTGAAATGTCGAATCCAATTGCATCCTGATTTAAAAATATCGTTTCTGGTTTGCTTTTATACCAATATGTTAAAAACAATTAGTACCTTAATTAAGAGCGTACAACGCGCAATTTTTATAAGTCAACATGTTGAAAAAACTTTTTTAAAACTTTGGACAATTTTTTAAATACATACAATTGTTTTGAAGAACTTTTCTAAATGAAAATATGAACTTATATTATAACAAAATATATAATTTTTCAGTTTCATATTTTAATATCATTTACACATTCTATGAATCTCGTTCCATTACCTTATTTTGCTAATTTTTGCTCTGTTTAGCAACTAAACATTTTTTTTATAATTTTTGATTATTTTTTTATTTAATATTTAAATTTTATTTATAATAATTATGAATTTATTTTCAGTTTTTTACGCACACCACAATGTGTTTAATTGTATAAATGTTAATGGCATTAATAAACAAATATGGGCTTATCGCTTTCTTATTTTTTTAAGAGTTTTGTTACTAACTTCTTAATATTTAGTTTCTAAACCTTATTTATATTATTATTTTTTTTTTATTTTTAATTAAAAATTAAGCTAATTTTTTATTTAAGGGTTTTCATATAATCGTAACACATATTTCATTTAATTTTTACACTTTGTAAATAATAATTAACAATAATTCCTTAAAATTAAAATATAAAAAATAACATTGAAACATATAAAATAAACCTATATAAATATAATTTAACAAAAATAAAATATTTGTAAACAATTTTTGGTACCTATTTTACATGCTAAAAAATTAATGCATTCAAAATTTTGTAATTAACAAAAATAACCCCCGCAACCAAAATCGGACAAAAAACTTTGTACATATTTTATTCAACAAAAATGGTAAAAATTTAAATAACTCTTTTTTTTTTGAAAAATTTATATTGATAATTTGTTCTTTAAGCAAAACTAATTCATCTTTTAAGGTACCTAACTCATGTAACTAACCGACACAGTTGCTTTCTGACAAAGTGGCTGAAATTCAGACTTGAAAGTATCAAAGTAGCAAAAAATACCTGCGTATTTATCATCTTTTATTCGTTTTTGCTTGAAGAAAATTTCGGGAGATTATGGTATTTATTTGTTTATAAGTAAAAGGAAACATGAGCTAGTGAATTTTAGACTAGAGGAGAATAAAGAAACAGAACGTCTTATTTGACTGTAAAATAAGTTTTTCGACATAGTATTTTCAAATAAAAAAAGACAGTGGTGGTCATATGCATACTTACATTTACAATTAAATTTTATATTTTAAAGTAGGGGGCACAATTTAATTTTTAATGCAAAAGTATTAATATTTATTTAAATGCAGGTATTGTATTAAAATAAAAATCAATATTATGCAAGAACTACTTTGTGTAATTTAAAGTATGTATTTTTTTTATTTCTTTATTTTCTGAGATTGGTATAAATGAAACAAATATATTTGCACCTTGAAACTTATACTTTCTTATGAGAATTTTCATTTATACTCTATTTGCAATTTTAAAACTTTAAGACAAAAATATTTATATTCAATTTTAATTTGATAATAAATCTACAAAATTATAAAAATTAATTTAATAAGCTTTTTAACTTTGGGCATTTTCTACTAACCACTTAATCATAATTTCATTGTTGTTCATTTTTCATTATTCAAAAAAGCATTTATTTTTAAGACTAAATAAAAGCTGTTACAAAATTTAATTTTATGAAAATATACAAAATATTTCCGTTACTGTGTTTTCTTGAAATTTTTTTTTTGGGGAACTGTATGGTAAGAATGAAAAATATAAAAAATTAATTTGTTTAAATAAGTAACTATTACATACCTTATAGGTTATTTTACCTATAGATAATTTTTCGAAATTTGAATACATTAATTTCGCCCTAATGGCTTAATATTGTGAGCACTAAGTTTCTTTTTCATCTTAAACAAAGAGTGAGAAAATTATAAAACGTTTAAGATAATGTAAAATAAAGCGAAAATTTGGGAAATTGCACATTTCTTTGTATCAAAACTTCAATTTGTGTAAGGAACTGGCGCTATTTTATAACTGTTACTTAAAGTGGAAAAAAAATTTTTGAAACTTACATCATCTTAATATTGTTTTTTTTTTTATTTTGAAACACTTTAGATTAAAAAAAATTTCTTAAATTATCAAAAATTTTTAATTTTACAACAACTTTTTAATAATGTACTCATATTTCTATTCCTTCCTATTCCTTCCGTTCTTTCTTTGGAACATAAACAAAAATACCCTTAGTAAAGTTCAGCCATAACGCTAATCATGCGAAAAATCAATTCTCAATAGAAACATGAATTCATAGCGTTTCTACTTGGAATTGATATTTGAGAAATGGCGTTAAGTGATTATCTATTTTGTTACAACTTCAAAATACAATATTAAGTAGAGAATTGCAAACCTCTTAACTTTTTACTAAATGAAAATAAACACAAAAAAAAAATATGTTTTTCATTATCTTTGTTCAATTCTTGCTTTTAAATAACGTCTAATTTTGATTTATTCGGGAATATTGTGAATAGATTTGTTTATTTTCTTGAAACTTTTGGAACTTGCTACGATTTTCTCTTACATAGTTTTTATAACATTAAAACTGAGTATCCGTGACATCCTACATGCTATGTAAAAATGAAATTGATTGGATTACTCAAATGAAAACCAAATAACGAAGAGGAAAAATATTTCCCATAAAATAATGAAACATCTTGAACAACTCAAATTAATATATTTAATTTATATAGCATAATTTTTTAGTATTGCCGATTTTTTTTATAGTAATAAACACTTAAAACTTAAGAAAAGCATTTTGACATAGTGCATAATTGCAATTCAAAATGTGAAAATTCACATTTTGATTTCAGTCAGACTTTAATGTATTCGATGTAGCCCTTAAAAGGCAAATATACTGCAGTGTATTTTAAATCAACAAAAGAAATTGATGGCTTTTATTAATATTGCTATTAATTAAAGCCATTCTCCGTTTATTAATCTGTTTTTTGAACTTTCAGTATCCATATTAAATTTTTTGTTATAATTTTTTTTTAATCAATTTTGAAATGTAGCATTAAATTTTTTTTATCTAGTTTCGGTCTTAAATAAATTATGTAATTTTGGTTTTAAAAACAAAGAGTGTAGTAAATATTGATAATTTTATAGAATAAAAGAGCAAATCACTAATTGCAAAAGAATATGAAAATTAAAAGGCTTTCCAAAATTTTTAAATAAATTTTCATAATACACTATGTCCTCGATATACGACATTTTTGTTTCCAGAAATTTATGTCGCAACTCGAATTGTCGTTTGAGAAGGAAAAAAAATGTTTGGAAACAAAAAGTGAATTAGACAAATTTTATATTCTAACTCATCTGTTTTTTTAAAACAAGGTAACAAAGTTTAAAAAAAACAACAAAATATAATAACGAAGCCAAAAAAAATCAATTTCGTAACAAAAATAAAATATATCACGTCAATTCGTATTTTTAACTACTGACTAGTATTTTTAACTAGAAAGAGTTGATTATTGAAGTATGTGCTTTGGACTTGTCTTTTAACTGAATTCGGTATAAATTTTTATTCAAATATCAGTGAAATATGTGAAATAAAAAAAATATTAAAATTTTTTAATGCGTATCTGAAACAATATCGCAAGTCGAATAAAAGTGGTCCAAATTTATATCATGTCGTAACTCAAAGTGTCGTATTAGATGATGTCGTGTCTCGGGGACTTAGTGTATTTACAAAATTTTGCCAACATTAGTTGTTGTTTCTAACTTATTAGGGTTACGGTAACGTCGTCATGGCATTCAAAGTAGGTAAAAAAATATTCAATAAGACTCAATAATATTACTTTCTATTGTGTACCTTTGGTTTAAATAAACGTATAAATACGCAACATTTACTTATTATAATACGGTCGCATAATAAATTAAATCGAATTTTTTACAAAATAGGATGTAGTGTAGTACATATTTAATTTATATGTACAAATACATCTATGTAAATATTAGACTATGTATTAGAAATATGACTTCTAACAATATTGTCTAAAAGAATCGAAAACGTTCTAAGAAACTAAATAGTAAAGTAATTATTTTTGACTTGGTAATATTTTTGAGATTCAGGTAAGGTAAACTGTTATTAAGTGTAGCACGTACTTAGGTTCAGGTATAGTTGAGCAGTTTCTTTGTAATGTTTTTATAACTTTAATTATTGTGTTTGTAAATATTAGCAGTGCGTATCATTTGTTATTGCTTCGATATACCAATACGTAAACCAGTTCTTCTCCTTATCACACAAAAATATTTTTTGTTAAATAACGCATAAATAAAAATTAAATTTTAAACAAATTGTGCAAATAAAAGCAATCACAAATTCAAATTCTCGGACAACAAGAAGCAAGTTTACCTAGTTGCTCGACAAATACAAAAGTGAATCTTTTTTGAACTGGTTCATAAGAGATTCGAATTTTTAAATTTCAATTACCACAGCTTTATTCGAACAATTTATTTATTTATAATTTTAAAATTTTACCTGCAAACTTGCATATTCTGCAAAATAAGCTTCGACTTGCTACATTAATGTACATGCACATAAATTTCTTACTTTGAATAGAAATTGCAATTATATATATTAAAGAATTTTTTTGTTCAAGTATTGTAGAGAGTTGGCAACCCTATTTGGAACAATAAATATCAACGTTTTTCTAATACACAATACAAACCCAAAAACCATTTGAGAGTGAAAATGTTAAGTGTCATAAAAAAAGTCAATTTTTACGATTTGTTTTATAGAAAAAAGTGCAACTGTTTCAAATCAAAAGAAAAGTTGAAGGCGTGCTTGTTTTTATTTATACATACAAAATTTAGACATAAATTTATGAAGATTAAATTAGTTTGTAGTAAAAACAAAGGAAAATTTGTACAAATACCAGACTTTTTATTTTTACTTGTGGGATTTTGTAAAAGAGAACAGGTACATAAATCCTGTAAAAGCAACAAAAATTTTAGGTACCTACCACCTCAAATGTGAAATTTATTCGTATTGTGTAGATAAAATTTCATAATTTTGAAATAGTCATCAGGTATGGATGGATGCCTTATTTTAATGGATATTTTTCAAAAGTATTTTAAGATTAAGACTTCAGTCCACAGCAGTTGTTTGAAGCGATAACACTTTGAAGTAGAATTTAAATTTTTGGAATAGTTTACATAATTTAAAAAAATATACACATTTAAATAATTTGAAGCTATTTTGCGATTCTTTAGCAAAAATGTTTAGCCGTACCCCATTTATCATAATCACTTTAATTTTAATTGCTAATGCAAAAAGTCGGACTATAGTGGAATATTGTACCAGTTTACCGGAAACAACTTTAACAACAATATTAGGATCAGCTTATAATCCACGCTATATGAGTATTGATGAGCCCAGAGTTATTGTACAGCCAACATTGGGGAATAAGAGAGCTTTACCAGAAGAGGATTTCTTTGTTAATGATGATTATCATCAAGAAATCAGCAATAAGCCAGCATGGGAATTTGATCACATATCAGAAAAACATTTAACAAGAAATAGAAGAAATATCAATGTCAATGATATAAAAGAAACTGAAAAAGGTATGGGTAAACGTGATTATCGTCAAACATTTTTACAGTCAGTAGCCCCATCAAAACGAGGTAATATTTTTCAACCTCGGCCATGGGAATGTAATTCACAAATACGTTGGATTGATTTAGGTTATGAATATTTTCCAAGATATTTAAGGACTGTTGAATGTACAAAAAAACAATGTTGGTACGGGCATTACACGTGTAAACCACGTTCATTTACAGTTAAAGTATTACGAAGAAAAATTGGTGAATGTACACGGATCAGCGAGAAATTAGTTATGGCATCTCAAGATAAAATGACAGGTGAATTTACACAATTATGGATTTGGGAGGAGAAAGCAGTTAATTTTTGCTGTGATTGTGTTATGAACTAAATTACAAATTGAAAATTGAGAAAAAAGTTAATTATTTGTTAGAAAACATTTTTCTTTTTTAATTATTTTCTTGTACTATAATGTTATCGCTTAATTTATTTCATTCAATTTACCTAGTTCTTTTTGCTAAGACTAAAAAATAGTTTAATTGTTGTTTTTTTTTTAATTGTAATGACTAAGAAATAACAGTGATTGTATAAATTTTAATAATATTCTATTATATAAATACTTATACATATATAATGCAATATTAGTGTATATGAGAGACAGAATTTAGTAAATAATAAAAAAATATTTTTTATATTCAATTATAAAAAGCCAAAATAATAATGTTGTTTTAATATATTTTCACCCAGTTGCCCAGTTTAATCATTTCAGTATCAATTCGAAATTGAATTGTTTCTTAAAATATATTCCACTTAAAATTTGTGTTTCACTAACGATTCCGACCAACAAAAAAATTTTGTGAAAATTTAAGTTCATTATTCCATAATTTTAAACTGAATTTGCAAAAAAAAAAAAAGAAAAAGCTTGATTCAAGTCCTGGCTAGGAATCACTTTTTTTAATTTTATGTGTATTTTTGGGATATTATGGCTTAATGTGGATTGTCGAATCGGTAAATGATAGTCATGTAAATCGTAAAAGTTTCAAAACTTTTTATGATAAACGTCAATCTTACTTAGACATTCGATGCTCAGAATAATCCCCTTTGTACCCAATTCCTGAGTCATTCAAAGACCCTAAAGAATTTCTTAAAATTTTCACGATTAACTTTTAATTGGCTTTAATTTTTTTTAATAAATTTTTTTTTGTTCTTTTTTAATTTAGTATTTGGTCAGTGGTTGTTCCCAAGAATATAGAGTTTTCTGATGTGAAGGATCCTAGAGTGCATAATTTGAATTATTATTAGTAAAGCTTTTTAATATTATTTCTCAGTCTTTTTTTATTTTGTGTTGAGCAAAAAAATTTTTCATTCATTAAATCAAGGTTTGAAAAAACTTTTTTTTTTAAATGTATTTATTTTGCTTTTTTTGATTGTCCGTGCACTTTGAGTTTCACACAAAAACTTATTCCCTGCATTAGCCTTCCCACATATTATAAATTTAATATAATATATGTACATATGTATGTAAGGTAACATGCTAAAATAATGGAAATCGAATACATAAACTCGGTACTTTTTTAAGCACATCACTTGTGGAGATGCAATATTATTTAAAAATTTTGTAGTTTATAAATTTCGAAATTTTAAATTCTATGCTTTAAACCTCTATAGCTTTTAATAATATTCTTTTACCATAAGTGAGGTGTCTAACAGAATATGTGTGATAAATGATAATTTTAAGAATTTTTCTAAATGATTAGATTAACAAAAAATTTTTTAAAAGTGTTTACTAACAAAATTAAAATACAAAAGTTTTAAAAGTTTTTGATTTTGAACACTATTATTATGTAATCACTGTGTGATTATTTCGAATTACAGTAATTAATACTACATTAGTACTACTATTAATTACCATAACAGTAATTAATAATAACTACCCCAAATAATTGTGTTGGCCAAAATTCCACGATTTCTTGGGCTTTTCACTTAAACGGGAAAATTTAAAACATCTTAAACAACAAAATTCAATAAAACATAACTTTATTATTTATACGTACATAATAAAAAATTTATTAAACAAATAAGTAAAAAAGTAATAAGGTAGGAATAGGAAAATTGCGAAATTTTTTACTTAGTTAAACGGAGAACTCAATTAAGATGCAATTATCCGAGGATTATATCAAGTCTTATGTTGGAAAGGAACTATGGCTTAGTTTTTTAAAAGACTGTTAACACAATATTATGTATAACAGTTTGAGAACTTGCCCATTCTCAATCCAAAATCCTTCAAAAATCAAAATTATCATTATCAATTATTTTATTGAAATTTGTTAATGGAAATACTTCAATATTTATAAGAAATTTATTATGGCAAATTGTCAGCTTTAAATCATTCTTTTTTGAAATATACTCTTATTACACTTTAATAAAACTTATTATAAAAAATAAATTTAGTCTAACTTGACTCCCAGTTGGGTTTGAGTTAAAATCAATTAAAAAACTTTAAAATTAATTTCACCTTTTATTTGATAATCTTACAAAAAAATTAACAGCAACCTCTCTTTAACTCCTACATAAACTCTTTAACTTTCAAGAGTTTACTCATGTTTTTTTTACACTTGTATTAAATGTTTTTTTTAAAGTAATATAATATTGATTTGGTTTTATTAATTTAATATTGTGTACCTAAAGTTCTTTAATCTTATTTCAAGAATATTAAAACTGTTATTAATTCTTTGTAGGATTTTCAATCGAACAGCTGGTATTATTGATCCTAATGAAGCTCGTTTGTTGTCAGCTGCTGAAGGCCTAGATAACGATGAAAATTTTGTTAAAGTTGAAATTCTCAAGAAGAAAGTTACTTCAAAAGATGCAACCGAAATGCAAGTTTTATAAATAAATATGTAATTAAAAAAAAAAAAAAAAAAAAAAAAATTTTATTAAAAAATTTAAAAAAATCAAAATAAAACAATTAACCAATAAATTATTAAATTATTAATATTATCTTTTATATAAAAATATAATCTAAAATTAATTAAAAACAGAATAATATTGTATATTTTATAAGAAGTAAAATTTGACTGTATATACAACAAAATAAGGAAATTTTAGAATTTTTTTAAAAAATTATTTTTTTAAGTATTAAAACTAAGCATATTTAAAATGTAATTAAATAATCAAAATATTTTAATATTATTATTATATATACAGGGTGGCTCGTTTCAAAGTGCGCTTCCATATATTATTTTTAATAAAAAAGATTTTTGAGAACCTCTTGACTCGAAACCTCTTGAACTGCTTACATTGTTTTCATACAAAAGTTTTGTCTACTCATGATAGTTACTCTATAATAGTGCACTTTGATGTGAGATACCCTATATAAAGAAAAAATATTTAACCAATTTCATACTTACACATCAACATCACATCAAATTTTTTTTATTATGTAAAAAAAAATTTAATTAAAAAAAACCTGTTATTGATTTAACTTAATATTCATTATAAAAATTTCTGATTCTTAATTTCCCTTAACAAATTTTTGAAAATGTTTTATAAATTTAACTAAAGTAACAAGATATTTCTGGAGTCATTAATTTTTTTCTTCAAATAAATTTGGCACTAGGGTTATATAAATTTGGCACTGTTTTAGAGCTTCTTAAGCCACCAACATTATCAGCTATAGTGTATCTATCTTTTAAAGTTTTAACTCTGGTTTTATAATTTTCGTCAATGGTATTAATTATTTTACTTATTTTTGTTCCTGTCAATAGGAATATAAGTAGCATTTTATATAAATCACCACTAAATTCACCATTTCCTAATTTCATCATTAAAACCTGAAACTCCAAAGGGTTAAAGCCTATATAAACATATTAATCCATTTATAATTTAATTTGGTTTTGAATATTTGGAGATTTTAATTGCTTTAAAGTATCTTCAATTAATTTTTTGTGACTTGCTCCAAAGACTAATAAAGTAGTTGATAAATATTTCAAGTTACAAATATTTCAATTTTTTTTATTATGACTTATAAAAAATATCAAAGTATAATGTAAATTTATCTAAACAAAATTAATTATTTTTGAGCTGTTTACGCCAACGTTTTTATTTACAAAAGTAAATATTTGTCATTGAAATAAAATGTTACAAAAATAATTTTAGTCTTGACAACCTGTCACTTATACTCATAAATTCACTCATCGTAAGGGGGATTGTCCAACAAAAGAACAGAAGCCCTATTGTAAACTTTTTGCTGCACCTAGAGTCAGAACGCTATTGAAAGAAGTATTTTTTTTAAAATTTAAAATTAAAAATGATTGGTGCTATAGGGTCCTGGCTAGTAACTTTAAAAAGTAATCATTAAATGTTTAACGCTCTACTAAATATTTTACAATATAACTTTTATGTAGACGAAAGAAAGTCAAATATAAAAAGATTTAAAAGGTCTACCCTTGTCTTAGCCACAAATATTTATGTTATTTCGTTTTTTGACATTGTGTTCAACTCTAAGCTTTCGCTTTATTTAAAGCAAAAGCATTATGCATGTGTGTAGTTCTAAATTGAAACGTGTGTTTCCTAATTTGAAAAATTTGTTGAAAACAATTAGGAAATATTTTTTTAATAATCACTAAAGTACTTACACTATCCTAATTTTTAAATCGATAAAACTTGACATAACCAGTTACAACTAATTTTTGTTCCTCCCCACTTTTTTTCCTTTATTAAGTATAAGTTTTAGTTTTAATTTAATTGAGATATTAAGAAAAATGAATATTTAATAAATTTTACTTTGTAAATCAAAAAATTTTATAATGCATCATATACTTAAAAACTTCATAATGTACTTGTATTAAGCATTTCATTTATTATCACACTTACTTATATGAAAATAAATAATTTTTATTAAACAAATTGTTTTACTTTCCAATATAGTTACCCGAACCACTGCAACCACTATTAAAATAACTATTTATTTAAAAGTTTATTAAAATAACTTTGTTAACTAAGATTAAAAAGTTTCGTTATCTATACACAACAAATTGACCAAATCCATACATATATCACGTATGTATTATCCGTTCCTCTTTGCAAAGTTTACTGTCAATCGACATGTTAATTGGTCTGCTCGATAACAATAATAAAATAAATTATGTCGATATTCAAATAGATTTTATTTGCTATGTTTTGTTACTGTTTCCCTAAAATTAAAAAAGTTAGAGTTGTGTTTTGAATTCATAAGTCAAGTAACGAGAGTTCGATTCCATTGTATGGATTATATTTCATAAGCACACTTAAACGCGTATCAGTTAATTACATTCTACTTTATCTTCGTTAGAGTACATACTTAACGTAATATAGATTCCGCAATACACCTAATATTAAATGTAAAATATTGGAAATAAATTTGGAATAGTCGATGATGAATTATTAAAAATTTAAAGATTAGAGGTAAAGTATGGTTTAAATTAAATACATGAATACACATATTTTATTTAACAAAAAATTAATGTTTATTTAGTTATAATAAATCTTTTATTTAAAACGCGAAACAACTATTTTCAGTCTTATATTGCTCCCGAGCTTATAAAAGGACAAAATATTTTAATTAAAAATAATTAAGAAAATTATCAATTGACGAATAATTTCTTTATCAATAATAGAAATAAAAAGCATAATTTTTTTTTTAAATAAATTTTTTTATTATTATTTTCAATATTTTCAATTTAAATATATCCACACATTTTATTCAATTTTCAAATTCTATGATTTTTTTCATCTGAATTAATAATAATTTAATTTAATTTTTTTTTCTGTTTATTTTAATCATTTAATTAATTGTTTATGTAAATTATATTTTTGTTTGAATTTTATTTGGCATTTCTATTTTCAATTTTGTTTTGCTGTCTCTTCTACAGAATTTAATTAAATATTAAATTAATTCCATGTAACGAAGAAAAAAATTAAATTTATAAATTTTTCAAGGAAATTAATTAGTTTGGTAACTAAAAAACCAAAGTTATCTATTAAAATAAATGTTTTTTAGGTAAAATGGGGGAGCAGGTGGGGAAATTTATACAAAATGGAACAGAAAATCAATGAGTTTTACGTTAATTTTTGTTTTTATAAAATTAAATTTTAATTATTGATATCTTTTTTTATTAATTTATATTAATAATATATAAACTTATATTTGTATTCATACTTGTAAGCATAAGTTGCATAATATTTATAATCTAAGAGACTTATAAGAAAATAAAGAAATATGATGGGTTAAAATATAATTTTTGAAAATACTTGAATATTATCTTATATCAATAGGAATATTCATTTCAACTATTGTCTTTAATTTTGCGGTTTAACTTGTTGAAGATATAATTAACTTTTATAAATTATTATAATTAATCTATTATTATTACTATTATTCATTTGTTTTAAATTTTTTGTATTTAAAACATAAATATTTCATAAAATTATTTTATGACTCTATTATAATTTGATAAAAAATCACTTAAAGCGGTTAGATACTTTAAAATTTTTGAATGTTGTCAAAAGCTAAATGAATATTCCTATTACATATAAAATGATAGAAACAAAACCCTTTTTCGTTACAATTTAGTAAAAGAATAAAGAGATGAAACATAAAATTTAACAAAAAATATAATTATTAATAATAATAATAATATTTCACACAAATCAAATAATAATTAAATATCGAACAAAATATCGTAAATAATTAAATTAATAACACATTTTTTTTGTATTAATATTAATTAACAAAATAAAAATAATTAATAAAATTATAATTAGGAAACCTATCGAATTTATTAACTGTACAATTTCATATATATATATATATATGTATATATAAACATATATATATATAGATATACATGCATGCATACATATATGTATATATATATATATATATATATATATATTTGAAAATTATTTTACATATAAAATGTTTATATTTAAATTTATGAACTATAATTAAACATTTACATATTATTTTTATGTATTTTTATACAAATTTTCATTTAAATTGAAAGTAAATAAAACAAAAGAAGCAATTTAATTTAACGAAATTAAAATTTTGCTAATTTACCAAAAAAAGAAAACCTACAAAGAATTTAAATAAACTTATTTTGATTTTTTTTTTTTTTCATTTTTTTTGCCATTTTATTTTTTTTTTTCTACTTTAAAATAAGGTCTTATTTTTTCGAAAGAATTTCACAAATTCAAGATGAAAATATGGAAATCAATTCAAGTAAACTCGAATTTAAAGAAGGAAAATTTTCAGCTTGAATTAGTAAAAATCAATAGTAAATCAATCCTCCATAACGATGTCAATATCGAATTTCAATTGAAGGGTTTGTTTTACAATTTAAGAAGCTTTTATTAATCGAAAATGACAAATAATAAACGCCACTAATTTGTGATAAAATATTAAATGCTAATCACACAAAACAAGATTGGATTTTTAAATGAATGTATTTGTGTGTAGTTTTTTTCGCGAATTTAAATTAAAAAATTTTTTTTTTTCAAATACATTTTTTAAATATTACAATTAAATTTAATTATTGTGTATTTTCGAAATTTGGTTTTCGATACTAAAAATTTGTTAATTTTGATTAACTTAATTTTATTTTGTTTTATCTTGTTTTTTTCCTACACAACTACGTTTATTTTAAACTTCTGTCGAACGATTATTTTCGTTATCTGTTCGTGAAGCTTTTCGTTCACGTCCTGGAATACGACCTGTTTGCGGTTGTTGCTGTTGTTGTAATTGTGGTGTAACAGGAACTGGGTGCGTATGTACTGGACCATGTAAATGATAAGTTGTTTGCGGATGTATCTGTTGCTGATGATGATGATGTTGATGATTATTAATTATATGATGTGCTGACTGTTGTGATCCAGGAACTGGATAACGGATTTTTGCGGCAGCTGCAGCTGCATTTGCTGCCGCCGCAATCATTGCAGCATTTTCACGTGATGCATTACTAGCTGTTGTTGATTGGAAAGAAACAGACATACCACTATCTAGTGAACCAACACTACCACGTCGTTGTGGTTTTTCATTACCAACTAAAATTGTTGTTATATTAGTAATGATGACATTGTTATTTGTTTTCTGGTATACTTACACTGCTCATGAATATCAAGTAAACTATTGCTCAATGCACTACGTTTCAGCTGAGCCGATGATTCACTATTCTGTAATGTAGTTTCTGTTCCTGGTGCTGATTGATATGGACATGGGCAAACTTCAACATCAGCTACTCCACTATCTCGATTTTCAGCACCAGCCGATGCTCTATTCCCACCCCTTGAAGATTTTTGTCGTTCTAGTTCAGCTTCAATACGTAATGACTCCATTTCATCCATTTCACTTATACTTTCACGTAAATCTTCAGCAAATTTACAACGATCGTGTTCATTTCGGGCATTAAAAGTTACTAAAACCTTACCATCAACTTTTTGAGAGAGTCTCATACAATATGGATAATTTGGAACGTCTAACAATGTAACAACCATGCCACAAAGTGGATAACTATTCCTAAATGTATACGTAACTGATGATTTCTTCTTACTAAATATTTTCGTGATAACTAGTAAGTCATTAAAAAGGAACACCTCACGTTGGTGAACTCCTGGACGCTCTTTTTTATTAACATCGGGTATCTCGTAAAGACGACAATAACAGACTAGACGACGATGTGGTAATGCTAAATTTGGTTTCTTTCCAACAATTGTTGCCTGAACTTTCATTACTTGTGTTACGTGATCACTTCCAGGCTTAAATTCATTGGCTTTAACACGTTCATAAATGCCAACTAACATTTCTCTGTCAATATCATGGCAATCATCAATGCCCCGTAAATTTTTTATAAAGTCATCCACACGCATCCGACGTTCTGGTTTCAAATTCGGTGTGTGCAGGTCGGTATTTAACATTATAATGGCAAAGGCAAGAACAAATATCTGTAACATATAAAGAAAACTATTGACAACTGATTTAACAATGAATAAAAAGATTTATTTACCGTATCTGATGATCGAAGTCGTCCTACAATATCGGAATTGCATTGACAGAAACGTTGAGAAAATATTTCCATAAGCCTCTCAATTTTTTGTGCTTCGCCTGGCATTCTGAAATACGCTTGGAATTTTCGTAATGCCACATCCACTTGCATACCAGACAAATCCAATTCAGCAGCAAAACATTCCAACACAGCCATATTGAATGGATTTTGCAAATTACCCAAATACTCGCCAATCATTTGCCTCGATAAACCTTTTCGGGAAATTAAAAATCTTGCGACTCCTTGTGGTGTGTTTTCCAAAAAGCCTCTTCTGATTAAGTATGTTATTCCCTTCTCTGGCTTTTTGTTGAATAAATTTAATCCAACTCTGTATTGACGTTTTCTAATTGTTTCTGAAACTTTATAGTTTTGTGGTGCTGCGGCCACAGCAGCCATTTGCTCGTTATGATCTTGATGTTGATGTTCATATTGTGCAGCACTAGTATGTGAATTTATTAAATCATCATTTGCGCCAACTGTACTTGCATTATTTGGAGCCGGATGTGAAGCGGACATCATTATCATATGATCCGTAGATTGAATATATTGTGCTGAACTATTTAAATTTGTACCACGTTTCCATGTTTGCGGAGAATTCGAACGATCTGATCCTAAATCACAGTTAACCATACGTTCTGCACTAGAATCACTACCAGAACTTTGAACTGATGTTAAACTACCATTTTCAGATGTTTTGCATAAGCCATTTGAACGAGTTGTACCACTACCCATTGATGATGGTGGAGGTGGAGTTTGACGCATCATTGAACGCTGTTCTTGTGATGTCATTGACGAAGTACGTTTCGGAACTTCAGGAGGGACTCGTTTACTTGAACTGCTATTTGTGGAACTAGTACTAGAACTTAGATGACTATTTTGTCGGGGCCGCATATAAATTTGTGCTGCTGTGTAATAAGGGGTATGTGGCGAATTCCATGATGAATTTAATGATAAATCCATATGTGAATTATTCGTTGATGTGGAATTAAAACTAGCATCATGTGGTACGGAATGATAAGCTTGTCCTTGATATATATATTGTGTGGGTTGATGTGGTTGTTGACTGTAATAAAGTTGTTCAGATGCATGTAAAAGATTAACATGTGGATGCGGTGCAGATTGAACAGATGTTTGAGAAGATTGTGACCAACATGCTGAAGAAGAAGATGCTGGTGGCATTGGTGAAGTATTTCCAGATTGACTTCTTGGTATTGGGCTAGAATCAAGTTGACGGCGCTCTCTTAATGACATTGATCTTGTGGGTGGTATACGATTTGATGGAGAACCACTTGAATGACATCCTGGTGGAGGACCAGCAGTAATACTAAAAAGAAATTTTTTTTTAAAATTATAGATCAGCTTTATTCAAATTATAAATGATTAGGAAAATCAAATCAAAACTTACGTTGCACAAACTCTTCCTTGTTGTTGCTGTGCCGAACCACCTTGAAGTGATTGTTGAATTGATATTTGTCCATTACTCTGACTTTCAATTTGCGATTCGCTAGCACTGCCATAGGCGGAAGATGATGTATTAGATGGTGGTCCATCTTCACTACCAACTCCAATTATTGTACCAGCTCCAGTTAATGACATCATACGGCGACTTAAACGTTTTTCAGCTTTCGCCATAGCTGTTATCGATGCAAATTTCTTAACCATCATGTAATGACGGAATGCACGTTGTATTGTAATTGCGGCGTTACGTGCACGTAATCCACCGTATTTTCTCTCTAATAATTCTATTTGTTTTTCTAATAAATCTTGTGATAATTCATACCTGTAATGCAAAATTAAAATAACTTTTAATAAAATGACATTTTTTCTTTTTGAAATTTGATTTTTAAAAAATTTTTATAGGTCAATAAATCAAGAAGAAAAATCTTAATAAAAAATGTGTAATTATCATTTTTGTTTAATTGAATTTTTTGTGATTATAAAATGCGTCCTTTATCACTTACGATTGTACACATTGAATTGACATAAGAAATCCCATCAATAAGAGGTCGTAATTAACGATACAGAAGGATCACATAAAAATATAAAAAAAACGCGACCTACCGCAAAGTTTTCTTAACTTACTGTAGATGTAAATATGTATATTCGAAAATAATGCGGTAAATCTACCGAAATAGGTCAAAACAAAATTAAAGTTAGGGAAAAATATTCAATTTTATAATCTTTTCTAAAAATTGAAAATGAAATTAAGTTCAAATTTGAAGGTGATTCCCTTGTGAACGGTAACAGTAGAAAAAAAATAACAACAAATTTCTAATGATGAAATGATAATAATTATTGTTTGGTTATTATCAGTTCAGTTTAGGCAGGTACGTATAACAAATTTATTTATATATACATATTTACAAATAATATGGACCTACCACAGAGTTTTTACATACATACGGTATGGTTTGGTTGTATTTTAGGACCTTTTTTAACACGAGAATTTTTTTATTTTCAAATATTGTTAAACCTTATTTTAAGGCTATGGGTGTGTGATTGTTTTTGTTAAATTTTTAAATGAAAAGAAAATTGAAATCAAAGTTTTATATTTGTTTTTTAAGGATATCAGATATTTTTATTATTTAATTTCAAAAATGAGTGAAATATAATTTGTTTGAACTAAGTTTAAAGTACTGAGACCAATAAAAATTACACTTTTCAAAACTAAGATGGTCAGACACCCCAATATGTACTCGACTCTAAAATGTGTTTGCTTATTTTTTCTGCAAAAATTAACGCAAAATTTCAATTATGAGAGAGTTATGAGAGAGTAAAAGAAAAAAAAGTTCAGTTTTCTTTCTCTCATTTAAAATTTGGTTTTGAGTTTCTTTTTTAACAGAACTCAAATTACATTTGTAAACGAACGGCTCTCTTACACAAAATAACTTTAAACAGATGTGAGCTTAGCTTTTAAGGAAACATGTCATTCCTCACTAACATTTTCAATTATTTCCGGGATATTCATAATGTTCAGAGGTGATAAAAATGTACTTTAGTACCAATACACAAAACCTATTTACAAACAAATTTAAATGACAGAAAACATACCTGTTCACTGTACCGATTTATTTGCTTTAAATATGTTTTCTTACTATGTATTTGTTATACTAAAACTTTAAGTGGCATTTTCTTTTAATTTATTTACAAAAAACAAAACAAGATTGGATAATGAACACAACTTTAGACAACCATAAGTGTTTTGTACAGCAAAATTGCATTTATTCATTTATCAATTCCATAAACCAATGAGTAACAATGAATAAATAAATTCAGAAACGCATAATCATTAATCCATCTAAAATAATAATATTTTCTAATGGATTTCAATTGACTTGTCAGTGTCTGTGCATGTATGTATGGATGTATATACTTATATGAAAATAATAACACCTAAATTGTGTTTAACATTTCTGTTTATTTTATAGTGTGTAAGGAACGTGTTTCACTTCAAATTCAATTCTCATTTCTATAATATATTAATTTAAAAATAAGAAAGAAAAAAAATATAATTTCCATTTTGATGCAAAACAATCAGCACTCTAATATTTCATTTATTGTAATGTGATTTCTTTTGAAAACAAAAAATTATAATAAACGAAGAAAATGATATTTTATTGACAAGAATTAAAACGTTTTAAATTTAAAACCTCCTCTTGTTCTCTACCACCTTCTCAGCATTAATGTTATCTATACACATTAAATGAAATAAAATTTTAAATTACTTATATTTTTTTATGGTTTGTACATCATTGTCAGTTTAATAGTTCAATCACATCAAATTGTAAAATACAGTAAAATCCAGTAAGTAATACAAAATTCTCGTCATGTACGATAATCAATTGCTTTTAATAGTTTCGACTCGATTTTTGCTATACTTATATGTGAAATGGTTTTAAAATAGTGTTGCGTGCCATAATTTAATTAAGCATTTATTTTAAGAAATGTGTTAATTTCATCTAATCTTTGTTGGTTTACAATGGGCAAATTTTTTGAATAAAAAAATATGTCAAATAAATGACGTTTTTCTAAAAATCAATGCTTGGAATTTTCATTAAATATGGAATAATAAAATTAATTAAAAAATTTTAAAGAAACTCGTTGTCTTTATAAATAGATTCTGCTGTAATAACATTTCTATATTGTCGTCAATTCGAACAGAAAACAGAGCCACAACGTCAACATTGAAAGTCAAAAATAATTGTAATAATATTAATATTAAAACGAAATGAAATAGAAATTAAATTTTAAGGTGTCATGACAGTTAAAATGATGATGTTAATCCTCCAATATCCCGCAAGTGTTTTAAATAATGTTGTTTTTTTTTCGTATTATTTTTTTAAATGAGCACTTAATGAAATTCAATTTCTGTTCCTTTTTTCTTTTTGATTTCTAATTTTTTTGTAGTTGCTGTTAGTGGTATATAAAGAGTTTCTTTTGTTGTTCATCACTTTAAGGCGGCATCTTCAAAAAAGAAATCAATCACCAATACTATTTAATCATCAGTAAATTAATGACTTCATAATATATGGAATACTAATTCAAGCAATAACAAAAATGTACACACATTCAATTCATGCATATTTATAGTGTTAAACAATGAGTGATGTTCTTGCTTTGATTTGATTAGATTTGATTTTAAAATAATATGACAACTATCAACATACGCATATAGGGAATAGTGTTCCAGCTTAGTCAGAAAAATTCAAATTTTATGAAGTCCTCAGTTCGCTCTAGAATTGCATTTGAGTTATTAGTTTATTGCAGATTAAATGCCAAAGTCCCTTATTCATTGATTTTAAACAATAAACAATTTTAACATCCGAGAAACACAAAAATAAAACTCCAACTACACAGTAATAAACAAAGCATTACTTTTAATCACAACGCAAGCATAATATAATATTTTAGTATATTTGTAACTCCACACTTTTACCGTTTTAAATTTTTCCGGATCATGTGTTTGAAATTTTAATATATTTTTCAATTATCGATAGAAGAAACTAATTCCATGTTTATTTAATTATAGCAATAAATTATTGCAGTTACACTACATTTGATAATATAACAAACGTGGGTGTTTTGACATATCTGCGATGTTTTGTTCTAACAACAAAATGTGTTAAAAACGAATTAGGTATCCGAGAAGGAACACTCCATACAAATTATTTTCAATGATGAAAACCAGTTCTTTTTTGTACCGAATAATATTAATAATAATATTGTTGATAAAGGGAAAAGAATTATATTTAAAATTGATTTGTTTTTGATATCAATAAATTCTATAGAAGGAGGATGGGTCGTATTTTATTTTACATAAAAATAAAAATATAGGAAAAGAAAACATGATCCTCAATAGATGCCTACTTTGATGATAAAAATTACAATAAACATTCATGTAGGCTTAGACTTTTATACATTTATTATGATTTATTATGAATCAAAGCAATTTTTCAATTATTTTATTTTTATTATTTTTATAATATGTATTATGTATGTGTTTTCATATTATTTATTATAAATAAAGAATAATTTTGTAAACAGATTTAAAATTTGTAACAATTAACAATGATTTAAGTATAAAATTTTCATAACTCATGAGTCATGGAATTAGCATTAACCTGCTGTTATACGTTCGTGTGTATATGTATTTATGCACAAAATGTGGATGAAAATGTAATATGGTAAAAATTTAGTCAATTTAACAACGGCTAATAATATTAATTTAAGCAAATAATTCAATGTTTCCGGTGAGTAAGGCTTTAAGCGGTAACATTTTCTAAATTGATTTTTTAATGAAAAATTATTTTCGAAGTCCTATATGTACTTCATTTTGCATTCAAAAGAGTTGTTTTTTTTTATGACGGAATCTTCTTACAATTTCTGGCTTCAAAATCTTAGTTTTCATGGCCAAATAAAGCAAATGAAAGTTGCTATATGGCAAAATATATTCTATATAGAGGATCGGAGAAGAACTAAGCAACAAAGCTTTATTGAAAAAAAGGTAAACAATATATCAAAAATTTAGATACTTAAGTAATATCAAAACGGTTGATATTATCAAAATAGGTTTGAACTCTCCATACTGAAATCCGCATATAAGACCTAGTAAAATTTGATCCAGTTCGAGCTATTCAAAATGGTCGAATTAATTTGAGGAGAATATTAAGAACAGTGACTGTGTAAGGTAATAATCGTGGCCCAATTTATTGACAATTAAAAATTTAACTGAAATTTGAGCATGAATTTTTTAAGCCTAAAAGTAACAGAGGGTTTGAATGTTTTAATAATGGTGCTGGCTAAAATTACAAAATATTTTCATATCTTTGAACTTTTTTCAATTTCTGCCGTCCTCTTCTAAAATATTAGAACACATTCTTAATAGCGTTCAATAATTTATTATACAAAAAAGCACATTCCGTTCATTTGATTTAGATTTTAAAAATTAAATTCAATACTTTTTCAATCCTAGCCATTATAAATTTCCAATTTCAACAATGGCCGAAGAAATATTGTCAAATTAATTTTACAAAAATAACATTACCAAAATTGCATCTGAGTTGTTATATTGGTTTCTGTTATTTTTTACAAAATCATTTGAAGCATTTATAAAATTTGAAATTGCACTAGAAACACCAAAACATTTCTTTGCAAAAAATTTTCTATTTAAATATATGTATACATTGTACATAGTGTTGGATATATGTTTAGGTTGTATTTTAGCTAAAATTTATTTATTTGCAATAAAAAATGTAAATGTTTTGAAATTCTATGAATTTT